CAGTGTATGGAACCTCATGGAATCCCCGTAACAACCACACTAGGATGAGGACGCCATTTTTCCTATTTTATAACATGAGGGTGGAATGGACTGCACTTCTCAAGTAGTTCACAAAATGCACACTAGAAGCCAGAATCACAGCTCTTTCTCCCCAGTGGTTGGATGCAGATGGAAGGACGATGAAAGAAAATAAAGAAGTGTCAGATTGATTTTTCTAAGGTTTTATTTATTTATTTTCAGAGAGAGGGGCAGGGAGAGAGAAAGAGAGGGAGAAAAATATCAGTTGGTTGCCTCTCACACACCCTCAACTAGGGAACTGGCCTGCAACCCAGGCACGTGCCCTGACTACGAATCAAACTGGTGACCCTTCGGATCAGAGGCCAGCACTCAATCCACTGAGCCACACCAGAGCTGACAGCAACGAGTTGGTTGTTTGTTAACCTAGACTTCTGCAGAGATCCCACCTCACCTCCCAGGCCTCTAGTTTGCCTTAGTTACCTTTTACTCTACTCAGGAGTCCCTTCCCACCTGGGATTTATTTCTCTTAAGAAACCATTACCAATTCTCTTCCTTGCCAGGACATTTCCTCTGCACACCCAGGCAGAGGAGGCCTTGGGCCTCAGAGGGTGAGCCGAGGTGGGAATGTCATGTCTGTTGTATCCGATCCCTACAGACAGAGCAAGGGACCCAGTGTGAGGTGCGATGCCTGGGTACCGGAAGGCCCCCCTACCTACAAGCCTCCTGTCGAACAACCTCACAGTGCTGATATCTGCACTGCCAGAATTCGACTTCTGGTCAAAGCATGGTGTTTTCACAAGGCACCTGTTAAAATAGAGATGGATTTGTTTTTGAATTAATTAATCATGAATACTCATTAATGATTTAACAGAAATTATTTTCAAAGATTAGGGTGGAAACAGGGGAAGGAGGTGGGGAGAACTGAGGTGATGGGGAGGGGCGGGGGGGAGCAGAAAACCGTACTTGAACAACAATAAAAATGTTAAAAAATAAAAATAAAAAAGAAAGATTAAACATCAGAGAGCAGACTTCTGAGAAACTAAGAGCTTGAACAGGTAAGTTTGACTGGGGCAGGTGGGAAGAAAATAATGGGAAGGAAGAAAAGGAAAGAAAGAAACATATTGGATCATTGGCTAAGATGCCAGTCAACACACTCAAAGTTCTAAATGAAGACATAAGATATGATCCTCATTATCATGAACTCACTATATGTATATATCTGGCATATTTAACTAATCTCGACTTCAAATGAGGGAAGGAGATTGGGAATAAAGTTACATTTTCATACTGTGAATACCGTGGGACCTTTCCACATCCCACTACAACAGCAGACACCCCAGAGTGAGTGAATGGAGGCAGTGAACCGAGGGAAACGGTACTGCCTGGTTTCCTGTCCTGGGAGCCTCTCCTATGTGAGCAGCTCCCTGGGCTCAGAGTGCTTCCAGTGTTTAAAGGTACTAATTTTTACTCATACCATATGGCCCCCAATTGGAAGACAACCACCTCACCCTGTGTCCAACTAAAGAAATACTACTGCCACCAAAGGGGAGAAAACTCAACCTGTGTTGCACTGAATGGCAAATAATGGTTGTTCTTGACGTTATTCTTGATTCTTCTCTTTCCCACACCTACATCCAATCCACCAGCTGCCTCCATCAACTCCCCTCCAGGGCATGAACTGCATGTGCTGCTACTTCCCTTCTCTACCCTCCCCCCAGGTTCACACTGCCAGCATCTCATGCCTGTACTGCTACGAACACCTGAACTGGGAGTCACCTCCCCTATGCCACCCAGCCACCCAGCCTCCCCACAGCTGCCAGAGAGAGCTTGAAAAGAGGACTCAGCTCATGACCTGCCCCTGTGTAGAACCCTGCCAGCTCACTGGGAAAACAAATTCCTCATGATCTAATTCCCAGCCTCCTCTTGGACCACTCTCCCTTTGGCCTGCTTTGTGCTAGCCCATCCTTCTTCATCCTAGCTGCTTCCTCTGCCTGGGCACCCTTTCCATGCATCTTCTCCTGGAGGCTCCAGAAGCTCACTTAGATCCCCAAGGCAATGCCTTCTCCTTGGAGGACCCTTTCCGAATCATTCCCCAGCACTGCCCAAATCTTTGAATAGCACTTACTGCTCACTGCTCTGTGATGACTCGCACCCTCCACCAAAGGGTGGAATCCCAAAGGAGCAGAACCTTGCCTCTCTTTACCCTCTCCACATCCCCAGTGGAGAAAGATGCCTCTCGCATACAAGGGGCTTCTAGTGGCATCCCCCTAAGGAAATGGCAAGGATACACCTAATTATCTTTGTATTTTTGTTTACTGCCTCATTTCAGAACCTGACCCTTGGAAAAAATATGAGCCCACAAAAGAAGTCTATATTTTATAAATGAGACCTAAAGTCCAAGCAAGTTGCCCAAGACCTCGTAGCTATAGTTGGTAAGCTAGGTTTTAAACCCATGCCTGTCTGATCCTAATTCTCAGGCTCTTGCTCTCATCCTGCAGGAACTTTTTAGGGGTTGGAAGCCCCGAACAGGGTAGAGGCAGCCTGGGAAGCACTGGGTGAGGACTCCAGAGGGCAAGGCTACTGGGAGGAGGTGCAGTTGGTCTTCATGGTGGCAATGAGCTGAGAGCCACCATAGTGAGAAGCCACTCATTAGCTGAGTGGCCTGCAGGAAACTTCAGTCCTCTGTTTCACTTCCTCCCCTGGAAAATGAGGGCTTTAACATCTGCCTCACAGGATGGGTCTAAAGATTTCATGACATACTAAATTTACTGTGTTTAACAAGGTGCCTGGCACCTGGCACACAGTACACCCTTAATAAATAGTAAGTACTGTTATCACCTGGACAAACTTGGCCCATTCACAGTTCCCTTCAAAGTCACACCAGAAGTGGGTCAAAGGGTCTCCCAGAATGACCAATAACTTCTCCTTCAGCCATGGCTTCCACCAGGAAGGACTAAGAATGTATGCTTCCTTTGGTAGACTCAGGGGAAAGGGCCTGGAAAACTTATCCACACATAGCTTGAGAGAAATGAGAACTAGACTTTCTTTTTAAGAATCACCACCCAAGCCTTGGTGCGCACATAGCACTAACTCTGGTTTGATTTTCACCACTATCTCCCCACAGATGGTAGTAGTCCTACTACTATTCAACCACCTGTGCTTGTTGTTAACTCAGCCAGGCCCAGGTTATGCCAGAAAAAGGATCAGTTTTTTGTGCTCAGTATGACTTACCTACCATGTGGATCGGAGTACAGATCTAGCAGGGGGCAAGCTATAATCTGTGCCACTCTACTATGACATGTGAACACGATGACAGGGACAGGGCCGTGCATGCTTTCCCTCAGCAGGCCTGGCCCTCTTCCTGGAAAGGTGTCTTCCGTGTTCCAAGCTCTTTTTACGTGTGTTCTCTCCACTCCTTCTCTCACTATTCTTCTAGGTCTTAAAATCCCTACAGTGAAGAGATTTGGGTGGAAAACAGCTAGGTTTTGTTTGTTTTAGCAAAACACATTCCGGCCTACTTTCACGATCTTCAAGAAGTAAATTTTCCATGTGTAGACAATGGGCAGGAGCTATTCTCAGCTCTAGACAGGTGTCGTTCCATAGGGCAGGTGGGACGCCTCGGAGTGGGAGTCAGACTTGGCAAGTCCCCATTTGGAAATGTTTGCCCTTCAAATGTCGTTTTGGGTCTATTTTAAATGGCCGATAACAAATGAATCTTTGGCGTGGTCTTGGAGGGCCAAGATCTGTTGGCAGAAAATGCGCTTTTACTGTACAATGGAGGAGAGATAATTGGGATCGTACTTAAGACAAAGGTGTGAAGATATGCAAACTTAAAAGCCACTGGGCTAGTCTAGAGGCTCAGGCCAGCAGTGTGACTGTGACCAAGCCACTTAACTTCCATGAGCCTCAGCTTTCCAATGTATAAAAGGAAGAAATTGAGTAGTTTCATTAGTCCATTCCAAATTTTGGGTTTTGTGAGTTTTAGAAGAAAGTTCTCAACAGAAATATTCTTTTAAGAATAATTGGTCAGCACCCCAGCTTGAACACACATGTAATTTGTTCACAGTCCGAGTTAGATTTACATTTGTACCTTTGACAAAATAAGTATTGGCTTTTTAGATGCTTTCAATTACCCTGCAACTGGGTGTATTGACATGGTTCTCGGAGCAATCTCAGCGCGCAGGGAACTGTTAACGATTCCGGCAGTCTTGCAGTAGGTTATTTATTCTTTGGTATTTGTTTGACATTTATTTTTCTTTTTCAGTCATATTGATTTAAATATCATTAGCCCAAAAATGCATCAAAGGGTAATTGCATTGACTATTTTGGCTCCACTCAGCTATTACTTTGCAATTCATCTTTTACGGCAAGATGTCCCTTGTGAACAGGTCAGGAGGGCTGCACCGGACCTCCGGTCCCGCCTTCCAAACCAGCGTGCCCTCTATTTTAAATGTAACAGAAGCAAATCCCAGAACAGGAGAAAACAATTGCTAAACGGCAAATGGCTGATTTCGAATTGTCAATCCGAGAGACTGTGTGTTAAGAGAGTAAGAGTGAAGCTTTTGCATTGTATTGTATTAAAAAGGAAAAAGGTATAATAACCCAATTATATCATTTCCATTGAAAAAAATCTCCCTGATTAATTATAGGCTGCACAACGTGGGCCAATTTAAGATTCAAGTAGCCCCCAAATTTCTAAGAGCCCACCAGAGAACAGGGAGAGGATCTTTGGGGCTGCAGGACCATCTCCAAACAGTCTCTCTTCTCCTTATGGGGTCAGAGCTTAGGGGGCAGGGAAAGAATAAGAAAGCCTCTGTCATCTAGAAATTTAAACACTTTCGGTAAACTGGTTTTTCGAAGTCTACTTTTTGTAATTGAGATTATAAATCTGGGAGAGATTGGGTCTGTATCGAAGGAATCCCCCACTCTCACTTTACCCTTCTTAGATATTGGTCATAGTATGAGTGTGTGTTTCGTTGCAGGGAAAGAGAAGCCCGAATTGGTGCACCTGGGCCTCCACGGTGGCAGTTGTCTCCACAGCCCTTCCGCTGAGCTTGTCGCATGAATTTTACTTTCGTAACTGACAAACCAGTGCCCTGCCCTGTCCTTTGGAAATAGAAAGAGTCAGTCACAACGTGGCAAAAGCAGACCATGAGGAATATGGACTAGGGAGCAAAAGTGAAAATAAACAAGTGGGACCACATCAAACTGAAATGCTTTCCTACAGCAATGGAAACCATCAGCAAAATGAAGAGGCAACCTATGTCATGGAAGAAAATTTTGGCAAACCATATATCTCATAAGGGGTCACTATTTATATATAAGGGACTCCTACACCTCAACAGAAAAGATCCAAACACCTGATGAAAAAATGGGCAGAGAAACTGAAATAGATGCTTTTTCCAAAGACACACAAATGGCCCACAGGTACATGAAAAGATGCTCAATATCACTAATCATCAGGGAAATGAAAATCATAACCACCCTAGAATATTACCTTGTACTTGTGAGGATGGCTATTATAAAAAATGTAAGAAATAACAATGTCGGTGAGGATGTGGAGAAAGGGAGCTCTGTGCACGCTTGTCGCCATGGACAGCGGTGCAGCCACTATGGAAAACAGCATGGAGATGCCTCAAAAAATCAGAAATAGGACTACGTACAATCCAGCAATCCTACTTCTGGATGTTGGTCTGAAGGGAGCAAAAACCACCTCTCAGAAGGGTCGCTGTCGTTACTGCAGCATTATTTACAATAGAAACGTTCTAAGTGTCCACTGACAGATGAATGGATGAAGATTATGTGATATATATAATGCAATATTACTCAGCCATAAAAAGAAGAAAATCTGACTTTTGTGACAACATGGATGAAACTTACTGGCGCAGTGCTAAGTGAAGTAAGCCAGATAGAAAAAAACAAATACTGTGTAATGCCTCTTGTGAGTGGAATCTCTTAAAGGTGAACTGATACATACAGAGCATGTGCTGGTGGCCGCCCGAGGTGTGGGGTGGTGGACCAGGGAAATGGGCGAAGGTGGTCAAAAGGCACAAACTTCCAATCATCAGATAAACAGATTCTGACAATGTAAGGTACAGCAGTGACTACAGTTAACGATCCTGTGTTGTATATTTGAAAGTTACTGGGAGAGTAGATCTGTGTGTGGTGATGGAGATTAACTTAGACTTATTGTGGTGATCGTTTTGTGATATATACATATATCAACTCATTATGCCGTACACCTAAAAGGAACGCAATGTTATGTGTCTGTTATAGATCACTAGAATTGCATTTTGAGAAAAAGAATAAAAACCCATATTCATGCAGAGATTCCATTTTGTGAGGAGTTTGTGTACTTTTACTGTCCACTCCCCCCCACCCCACACATACACTTCTCAATCTTTCTTCTCTCCAGCTTCTAGAATTTCCTCCCTACCCATATAGGTCACTCTTTCCTCATCCAAGTCTCCAAACCTGGCATCTCCAACCCCCAATTTGCAACACTACCTCAGAATTGTTGGACGATTCTCCCAGGAATCCGAACTCATTCAAATTAAAGTTCAAAAAGTGTATTTTCTCCCTTAAAAATTGAGGGCAGACTCTGGTCTCCAGTTCCGCATGTAAGGAACTTAGAAGCTGCCACGCCATCCTAACGACTAAAAAGCTGAACAGACTGAAAGCCCAGCAACTCATACTGGGGTTCGTTAGAGAAGGGAGGACAGGAGCAAACGCTGTCCCCACAACTGGAGAGACAGACCGGAGAATGCAGGGAGTCATCGCCTACAGGATATATGTAGAAAATCATGCAAGCGCGAAATAAGGCTGACATCCATAGATGCTTCCACTGTGCCCCTGGAAGCGGGGCTTTTCGAGCTGCAAGAATAGTGGCCGTGCTGAAATATTAAAAAAGCACTACCCAGTTCTTGGAGGATTAGTCCAAAGGTCTTAACCTTGTGTGTGCCCTTGGCCATATTGGCAGGTGATACAGCTCCTTATGATTACCAGCCCCAGATCGGCCCAGTTTGCAGAGCAGAAGCAACTTGTCCCTAACAGATGGAAGAACAGTCCCACTTGGGGCAAGTTATCAATGAGGCTGTTAGTGAGCTGTGTTATTATTAGCTCCTGCCAGAAATTATAGTCAGGATACCTCTTTATATAGAAGATGAATTGGCGGTGGGAATTTTGCCAGTCGTGAGGTTTTCCAGCTAGTTTGGAGTTGCCTCAGAGAGGCTTGATCTGATTGGTTAGACAGGTTCCTTGGCCTAGCCAATCAGAATATTGGAGAGGCCAGTGGTAATTTTGTCTAACTTGGCCGAGAGGGTGTCTTCTGGCAATGAATATTGAAATGAAACTTGAATGTGCTGCTGTAACTTCTTTCCTTCACCAACAGCCAAGACTACCCTCTTGCTTACTGTCCTTTCCCTGAGGATGTGAGGTAATAGCCTCAAAGCTATTGTAGAAAGAAAGACAGCATTAAGATTTGTGTGCTTTCAGCCCTGGCTGGTGTGGCTCAGTGGATTGAGTGCGGGCCTGAGAGCTGACAGGTCGCTGGTTCAATTCATAGTCGGGGTACAAGCCTGGGTTGTGGGCCAGGTCCCCAGTTGGGGGTGTGGGAGAGGCAACCTATCAATGGATCTCTCACACGTCGATGTTGCTCTCCCTCTCTTCCCCCTTCCCTTCTCCTCTGTCTAAAACTAAGGAAATAAAATCTTTATAAAAATTAAAAAAATATATATTTTGTACTTTTGGGGAAACTGCGTAAGATTAGCTCTCACTCCTGTAGCCCCCTTCCCACCCCAGGCCTCCCAGCCCCTCAGATACTTCAGGGCCTTGTGGGGCCCTTGCCACCATCTCTTCGTTTCTTTGTTTCTCCTTCTCTTCTGGAGCAACAGAGCTGAATTTTAAAAGCCATTTTTTGCCAAGACTTTTTTTTTTTACATCTTGTGTATGTGACACTGCCAGGCTGGCATTGACTTACCAACTAAAAGGACATTAAAAATCCACAGAGCCAGATCAATCTTTAATGAAAAACCAACAAATATTAAAGAGCTGCCACTAAGCAGCGAGGGGTTCAAGGCGACTCCGGCTAATTGGCACCTGTAGTGCTTCCTCTTGCTGCCAAGTTCAAGAGCTGGCTCTCAACCAGCCCCGCAGAACGAGGCCAGGTCTCCGCAGGGCTCCTGGTGCTCTGTGGCTAATTAGGGTGAGGCAAGAGCACCCCTCTCCAAACGGAGTTTCTTCTAGGCATAGACGCTGCCTGAAACTCCAGGATGGTTAAATGCTCCCCAAAACTCCAGTTGCCGTTTTGTAACTTGCATGGATCCGTGGTGAGGAAATGACTAAATAGTCTCCGTTGCCACTAAATGGTGCAATAACAACTCCCTAATGATATGGAGACTGAAAAAATGGAGAGATATTTGGAGTAAGAAATAGGCTTTATATTGGTAGAACAATATACAACAATTTATGAACCCTGAGCCTTTGAGAAGATAGAAATAAAACGATTTTCTTGGTAAACATTCAATTCTCAGGGTTTTTCTAAACAACTGACTTGGACAGCGCTCTGTCTCATCCTAGCTACGCGGGAGGATCCTCCGGGCGGGGGACCTGCGCCCAATGCAAACCGCCTCCCAGAAACCCCGGAGCCAGGCCCGTCACTCCCGACTCCCCTCCAGGTCTCTCTAGCTGATGGTAACAGAAGGTCGGGGTTCAGAACTGCTCTTCCACGGGAATCAAGCTTGCTGTTTAAAATACCAATTTTTTTAAATGTAGACTGGAAAAATAGAAGTGTTAGGACTTCGAAAAACCAGAGTGTTACAATTTGAATTTAGCCTCATGGCTTTAGATATAACATTTCATGGGTACATGGTCCTTTGAAGTTAATGTTTTTCTCAAAGACGTTGAAAATACTGAGTGTCCTGCTGTGTTAGTCTGCCTGGGCTGTTGTAACACAGTACCGCAGGCCGACTGGCTCACACAACAGAAATTGTTTTTTCGCAGTTCTGGAGGCTAAGAGGTCCAAGATCAAGGTGTCGGAAGGGTTCTTGCTTTTTTAAAGTATATTTTATTGATTATTCTATTAATGTTTTCCCAATTTTCCCCCTGCACCCCTGCTCCACCCTGCACCCCCCAACCCTCCAGCCTTCCCTCCCCTTAGTGCACGTCCATGGGTTTCTTTGTCTTCTCCTCCCCACTAAAAATCCTCCGTGTGATCTCCATTTCTCTAATTCTGTTCCTGTTCTAGTTGTTTGCTTAGTTTCTGTTTTTGGCGTTTTGTTTTGTTTTTTAGGTTCAGTTGTTGATCTTGAGGCCTCTGTCCTTGGGTTGTAGATGGTGTTACTCTTCCCATGTTTTCACACAGTCTTCTTCCCTCTGGACCTTCCAGAGTCCTAACCTCTCTTGTATAGACACCAGGTATAAAGAACCAGGGTTCACTGCACAACCTCATTTTACTTTCATTGCTACTTTTAAGACCCTCTCTCCAAATACAGTCACTTTCTGACGTACCAAGGATTAAGATTTCAACTCAGAAATTGGGGGGCATGGCGTATGATTCAGCCCAAAACAAGCAGTTTGAAATAACAGTGGATTTGACTTTGACTTTTTTTTCTTTTTCAGTGATTGAGGGAGGGTAAGCAATTCCTTTTAAAATCAAGTTTTTCTTTAAGAAAAGACATTGAGAAAAAAACAAACAAACAAAAAACCCCAAAAGTTGCTTGGGCATGTGTAATATAAATATCTTGAACCATAGCCCATCGTGATGGGAAGATTGTGCCAAAGGAAGGAAGTCTCTGGACGACTGAAATCCCAGTGGTGGGGTATTCCAGGAGATGCCTTGTAAAGATGTAACAGATCACCTACTCATCTGAATTCTTCAATTGCCTCCATTGTTCAGAATGCCCCGGACAGCACAGGGTGCTGGGAGAGCATGGTGTCATCGACTCCCCTTCCCAAGAGGTCTCTCCTTTCTTGGCTCTTCCAATGCTTGTAAAATTTATATTAGTATTAAAGGTAAAGCAAAATGTACAATGCACGAAGCCTTGGTGCTTTTGGATTCTAGATATCTGTTTAGTCAAATTACTAAAAATATTTTTGACCTTAATAATTCACTCCCTAAACTTGCAGTTCTTGGGAAAGACCCCTCCATCAGTGGGTTTGACCGTAGGCACTAAGTTCACCCTTTGTAAAGTTTAATATTTTCAAGAAGATGAGGGAGAATGTAGAATCAAAACAGAAGTATGTGGTGTGTGTGTGTGTGTGTGTGTATGTGTGTGTGTGTTGCACAGATAAGGAGACACAGAACCAGGAAAAGCAAAATGTGGGCCATGGCACTGGTGCAGAGGATACCCTCCACCAGGCTGGTGGATTTAGAAGACCTGCTGTGGACATGTGAGATTCCGATTCTCAGTTGCTATTTGAATAAATCATCCCGTTCCGTGACTTCACTTGCAACAAAAGCAAAGACAGTCCCAATCCTGTGCAAGTCACAATCCTTTGTAGGGACCTTCAGATCCATGACTGTGCCATGCTCTCAGCAAATCACTTCTGAGAAACTAGCATGTGCACAGCCATGTCCACAGAGCCATGGTCAAGACAAAAAGATACAAGATACACCCCTTAATCTCAATGAATGTAGAATTTAGTTGGGTGGACAATACATACACAAGTTCAAAGATAAACAACACTGTGAAACTTACAGAGCAATGCAAAGGCTCTCATAGGACGATGGTATATAAATGCCTTTGTAGTGTCCTTAAGGAAAAATTGTATCCTTTCAGAACTAAAGGTTGCAGTAAGAGATGGAGGCTGGACTCACAAGTCAAGGAAGATGCAGAAGAGAAACGTTGAGAATGGAAGGGTGAAGATAAAATGGACTAGCCATTTTTGTTGGTCTGTTTTTCACTGGTTTGCTTTAGATCACACTTATCAGATTTGGGATTTAGGAGAAAAATCACTGAACACATTTATAATAAAATGCAACTCGAATTTCAGTCAATCTCTCCATTTCTAACAGGTCTTTCTTTCAGTCCTGTCCCCACTCTGAACAAGTAGTCAAACAAACATATGACTTAATGACCGGCTATGTCATTGAGTCACTATGATCCCTGTCAGGGGGAAACTAGACCCCAGCTAGGGACACAGTCATTTAAAAGGGTCTAGTTTGGTCCTCAGTATAAACTGGTCATTACAGAACATGTGAGACCTGACCCTCCTTCGGAAACCTGCCCAGTGTGGCTAAAATTGGCCTCCTGAATTAGACATTGCGAAGGACAGAAAACACTACGTGGGCTAAGGGACTTTCAAAAGTCTTTTCTTTCTCTAAAAGGACA